TTAATTTGATCCTTTGTATTACTTTTTCAATATTGAAAGATGCTGTGTTTTCTATATGTGATAGAAATATTCGTTGAAAACCATACTGGATAGTGAAACATAATGATTTAAACAAAATATTGAGGAAAATTAGAAGAAAAGTGTTCTCCATAAATATAGGCAAAACTAAGTCATTACGTGTTCCTGCAAAGTTGGCAGTTTTGTGATGAGGCATATAAACATCCAGGTTTCACGGTGTAGAACACAGATGGCAACACGCACGCAGGTTTGGCAAATGTTTCAAGTACAGGGGGATATTCCCGCATGTCACAAACAAAGGAGTTAAAGCAAAGCTTCTGACCAGTGACCACCTATACACAGCCCTACAGACATTTTTCTAATGTTTTTTGTACCATATTTCTGGATGTACGGAGAATTGTTTATATTTTTTAAGCAATAAAAAGATATAAATTGATAAAAAGTACTTAGTATGAATTACCAGGAGCCACTGACTGAGCTATCTATTATTAGATTGCAATCTCGGTGTAAGAGCTAGTATTAGAAGATCTTAATAAACTTTTTTTTTTTTTTTAGAAAACCTGTACAATCTTCTTCCACACACAAACATGATTGTTGTTTCTTTATCAAAGTATTTTGATGGAACCCTTGGTTTACAAACTCCTGTCCTATCAAGGTAGCTGACCAAAATTATCTAACACGAGATAAAATGTACCATATTTGTGAGATAGTGCATGATCGAAAAATTAATCGTGGATTGATCTTGAACTGTAAAGAAAAAAAAAGATCTTTATTCAGAATTTTTTGTTGTTTTGAAGTAGGCAGCCTTTAAAGAGAGAAGTAGTGTACACGAAGCTTAATAATAGATTCCACTTTTCTTGTACGTAGGTCATTACATCATCTGGGAACATCGAAACATACAGACTTATGGACCTCAAAGAGTTTCTTCAAGTCTATAAAATGGTGACTTATCATGCTAGTGCAGCTCCAGCATCATGTGAACCCATCACGGAAGATGCTGCCGGTTGCTCTCTGGATGAAACTTCGGTAAAAGTACTGGATAAGGGAGACAGTAGACACTGCTCTGTCCACAAAGAGTTTTTTGATACATCCGTTATTTTAGATGGGTGTGTAGAGCTACTGAAATTTTTAATTATTTTTCTCTTGTTTGTGTTTATGTTTGAACATACATAATTTTCATTGCCTATGACTAGGACTGATTCTGATCAGTGTGCTCAGATTGCGCAAAATAATGCTCTGTACTTTGTGGTCATGGTTGTACAATAAGAGTCAAATCCCACTATTCAGTTACACAAGAATATCCCAGTACATTTCAGTTGGCTATGAATGCTATTGAACATCATTTATAAAATGTTTACATACAAAGTTCATGTTAATTTCAATCTGGAGTAAAATAAAATCTTTATACTGATTGTTTTTTGTTTTGAACATGCTAAGCACGTTCACACCAACAGTATGTTTGATATTTTTCACTATGATATAGGTCCAGCTTATCTCTCTTTGGTTAACTTGTGTTCACGGTTACTGACGAGGAGTGGAATTCTCCGAAACTAGTATAAACCAATAACACACGTTGATCAAAGTGTAGATTGAACTTGACCTTCCTTGAACTTAGAATTTGAGATTAAGCAATTTTTGGAATACTAAGTTTATTTATTTTATTGATTTTTTTTTCGTTCTTTTTACTCTTTTATGCTTTTCTTTCAAACCTTTAACAACGTGATTGGAAATGGCAAATTAAGTTGCAATTATTAAATATTATGCTTTGTACTTTGTGATGACAAATACTGTTCTGAAGCTTTTCAATAACATCAAGTTAAGTTTTTTTCTGGATCTGGAAAAACTTTATGCCTGGAGTATTGGGCACGAACTACTCAGACCCATAACTGTACTAATTGTAATTAACCTCTTTTAAAAGAAAAAAAAAATATTAACATTTTAATTTCAGTAGACAGAATTTTTTTTTACATTACACATATGTTGCAGTCGGTTAATTTGATATATGCAAAATAGAATCATAGCACACTAAGCTGGGAATGTAAAAGTAGTCTTAATGTATCATCCATTCTAGTTTGAGAATTTTTGCAGCCAAACTCTGGTTCACTGAAATAAAAAATCAAAGCGTTATCAGTGTGCGTTTAGCCACTTTTATTTTGAGTATGTCTGCCACAAAAATCTGCATTCCTTTGGATGAAGTTATGGGGAATGTCTCTCATTCCCTCGTGAAGGCATTCTGTAGTTGATCATGTGTTTTTTGTTGGGTGAAATAGATGCGAGATACATCCCTAAAGCTTTCCTTGGATGTGCTTTATAAGGTTAAGGAGTGGAGAAAGTACTGTTGAATCCATATTCATGATAGTTAATTAAGTTTGGTAGATCCAGTGGAATCCTGGCAGTGGTTGTCAAAATGCGCGGTGTTCTGAACATCTTACTTAACAATGCATGGATCATGGATCAATACGCCCCTTTGAGCGGACAGTTCCCAGCAATGTTGAGGAGTCAACCTGAATCTTTCATGACCATCTACTTTACAGTTGTCATAACACTCTCCAGGTTCTGTCTTTGACTTTATCGAAAGCTGTAGTCATTTTGGTAGGGCTATACTAATCCCATTGCAGCTAAACATAATTGGTGTAGGGTAGTATCTGCTTTGATGAATTGCGACCTGTACATCTTTAAGAACAGTGATTTAAATTATATAAAAATTTAAAGAGTTCTCAGAACATTTATATGTTAGAGAGGAGGTCCTGGGATCCACTATTTTGTTATTGTATTGGACCTGATTTAACTTTTTTTTACAACAGTGCTTATTTTTGGCTCCATCTATACATGTAGAACCACCACCTACTCTGAACAGGAAATGACTGTGAGAATGGACTAGTGAAATTTTTCTTAAAATCCTAGTCCATTGAAATATCAGGGTCAAGCTTTACAAATGAATTTTGCATATACCTCGCCTAGCAGACACCTAAGGTAAACTGAGAAATACTTTAAGAAACTGACCGTTTGGGCTGGACATACTTGCAACTTAAGTTGAAAATAAACATTTGTAAAATTCTCTTAAACTTTCGTTCTTTAATATTGTATTTCCACAAATGCAACATGTTAACATCAATACTGGAAAAACGTTAAAAGTAAAGTACTGTTTAAGATTAAGTTTACACAAAATACAACTGCTAAATCTAACAGCTGAGGTTAATCTGACAACTGGTATTTCTAAGATAAAGAAAAAACTTCCTTTACATCACATAGTGCTAACTTATAAATATGTAACTTGTTTAATTGCAATCTTATTTTCTGGATTATATTAATTTTGATTTCATATTTTTTTAATTTTTTGTTGATATTCAA